TTAAAAATGCATGATCTAGGTACAAGTTTCCTAAAAGAAACATATCTTGAACATAAGGCACATAAAGTAGTTCTAAGAAATCATAAGGTCAAACAAAGATATACCATGTCAACAGGGATTAGAAGCCAAGGAAGGTATATTACTATCAAGCAAAATAGATTTAACAGTAAAAATAAATTATAAAAGACAAGAAAAATCACTTCATCATGATAAAAGCTCAACTCAAGAGGACAACGCAATCCTAAACGTTCATGCATCTAGTAACATAGTCAAAACACATGAAGGAAGATTTTAAATGACTGTGAAGAAAAATATAAGCATCTACAATTAAAATCAACATTTCAATACCCTTCTTATAATAACTGATAAACAAAAGATGAAAAATTAGTAAATATATGGACTTGACCAACAGTACTAACCAGCTTAACCTAGCTGAAATTTATCAACTACTCCCCTAAACTGGAGAAGAATGTACTCTTTTCAAATGTTGACAATATATTTTTCAATATAACCTATATACTGATTTGTAAGTCTCAATAAACAGAACTCAAGTCATCTAGAATTATATTCTCTCTCCACAATAAAATTAGGAATTGCTAACAGAAAGATCTCTGAAAAATTCCCAATTATTTAGAAATTAAATAACATACTTTAAAATAATCCACTGGTTAAAAAAAATGGGTAACATCTCTAACAAAACTAAACAAAAAAGGGGGATACAAAGGAAGGACCATTTTGTATCTGTATATGCAAAATAGTTAGGATAGATATACAGCTACTTTCTCTTAATTCAATGAGAGGAAAGATTTGTATTCATAGTATTTGGACAGGATATCATGTCTGCATCTTGTACTATGAATAACCACTAAGAAGATAACAATATGCAATATATTAATTATTGAAACTGTCCTACTAATCGGTTTTGAAACTGTCTCATAACAATCTGTTTCTCAGTAAAATTAATTAAAAACTAAAATAAAAATAAAAAAATTAAAAAATGGGTAATCAGGAAGTATATTGAACTGAAAGGAAATTAGAATTCAACATATAAGTTTTACTGATGCTATACTGGGAGCAAATTCTTAGTACCAAGCACTTAATTTAGGAAAGAAAAAAGTCTTAGTTGTAGACCAATGTCCTTAGCTTTCACCATATGACTACAAAAAGAAAAATACATTGAACCAGAAGTAAATAGATCAAATGAATCAATGATAAAGGAAATAATAATAGAAATCAAGAAAATATAAAAGAAAAAATCTGTGACTTAAATTGATAAGTCCTTAGCATAATTAGGAAAATTATTAGAATTAGAAATTTAGATAATATTAATAATAATATTGCAAATACTAGAAGTACCTAAAGGATATAGAATATTGTTGACATCTTTATGTTAATAAATTAGACAACAAGTAAAACCACAAATTCCTTAATGCATACATAAACTTGGTCAAATACAATATATGAACACTTGGTCAAAGTTTAACAAAGAAGAAATACATAACATGAACAGCACTACATTAAAGACTTTGAAGTTATAGTTTAAAATCTTTCCCACAAAGAAAACCCCAGGCCTACATGGTTTCAGTAGTGAACCCCAAATATTTTAGGAAGAAATAACACTAATTCCTTTTTTCATCCAGAATATAGAAGATCTATTATTGCACATTTTTAAACTTTAAAGCATTTTTTGGTAATTGTTTGTTGGGGGAGGGACTGAAATTTTAGTAAAAGATATGAGCAGGAGAGAAGCAGCTCACGCTCCTCAGAAGCCAGCATGAAAAATTCAGAAGCGTCCAGTGTTGGAGAGGAAGATGGAGAAGCTAAAATTTTCACCATCTCCTGTAAGAATGTAAACTGGTACAATCTCTGAACAGTTATCAACAGGATCACCTCAAGCCAAAACTACATATATACTACGCACCAGAAATTCTACATCTAGATTTACACCTAAACAAAATGCACACATATTCCCTCCAAAAGACGCCTCTAACAGCACTACTTGTACCTGACAAAACTAGGTGTGGGTGGACAGCATCCATCCATCCACACAGTAAAGTGGATGATTAAGTCACGGTGTGTTCATGCCATGGTTTGCTGTCTCAACTAGCCCAACAATGTGGATGAATCTCATGAGGTGATATTGAATTTTAAAAGCTAGCTACCAAAAATTCTGAATAACTCCCCTTATATAATAAGAACTTAGAATAAACATAACAGCATGATCTCAGGATTTCTTTAGAATACAGGGCATTTTGAATCTGTGTTCTTCAACTACCAGTCCTCGTGACAATTGATGATAGTGACAAGTGTCACTCCCAATATACTGCTCTAAAAAAAAGACATAAAAATCAAATGTTAGCTGGAGATATACTTGTCTTTGATACATCTTAGACAGCTACATTTGTTTTCTTAAAGTGATATCATTTTTCTTTTATTGCTGAAGGACTAGCTGTCCTGAAGAAAAGTTGTATCTCGTGAATTCTAATTTCATACTATGTAACTGTCACTCTGAGCCACTAGAGGGCAGCAGTTTCAAAGACTGGAGTACAGAACCCATATTCCCAGGGCAAATATAAATTAGGAGCATGTGAGCCAGATTTAAACTACATAAGACAGAATATAATTATTCTAAGTGTTTTTATTTATAACTTTTAGAGTTGGAAAACAACTGAAAGATGTCCTTACACAAGAATTCTTTTATTTTTGTTCCATACAAATTATGTGGACTTATATAAAATGTGTGTTCTACTTCAGTATAGAAACTTATAAAGTGATTTAACACACGTGATGCCTTACATCCAGATGCCCCCCCAAAGCCCCTTGTGCTCAGAGAGGGGCTTCGGGAAGTGGCAGGATGTGGAAGAGGGAAGCCCCACCCTTGGTGCAGGTGGCACCGGCCAGTAGGCTGGTGGCCTGGATGGGATAGAGGGAAAGAAGGCAGGCCCACTGCTGTCACACCAGGCACTGCTCTCCTCTCCACGACCCCTGGCCATCTTGTCCTGCCTTGGAACCAACCAACTGTGAATTGAAACCTCTACAAACTGAACTAAAATAAACCTTCCTTCCTTTAACTACTGAGTGTGAGCTATTTTGTACCAGCAATAAAAAAAAGACACCATCTAACAGTAACACATGCATAGATATTGACACTTTTAAAGTACTTTCATAAATGCTACATTTTGGGCTCTTTTCACTTTATTAAGCTATATGAAATAGATGTCCTCGGAGTTATTGTATCCTTTTTATAGGTAAAGAAAGCGGTTTAGAAGAAGTAGGTAACCTGTTTTAGGTAACACCATGAAGAGATATAGAAAAGGCAAAGTTTCACTCAACATATTTAGTTTATACAGTTGCTTGCTAACAAAAACAAAATAACAATTATATCCTGCAGTTGATTCAGATGTGAATTTGGGAAATGCCTTTCATTGGGCTCTGATCCAGCGCAATGCTAGTTTTATACTTGCAAGTCTGGTTTTTCACAGGCACCTTGGTGAGCAGTGCTCCCTTCTGAATTACTGATACCTGACCATTATTATCATTTGACACAGAAAATGAAAGAGAAGTGAAGCTGAAAGTAAAACAAGCAGCATTCCTCGAGGCTTGTGATTAAATGAATCAGGAAAACAGATCTACAAGAAAGGCAGCTGAAAGCTACCTCAAACACTGCCATATGATGTTATAAACATTCCCCAAGCCTCTTGATATTGTGTATTATCAATCAGATTAAAATGTGAATATTGATTATTAACCCTAATGTCATTATATTGTCTCTAATAGATAGGGTACCATCTTATAGCTATTTAAATAAGCCCAAAAGCTAACAACCAAAAATGTATACCGTGAGAGAGGAAGCCATGACCTGACTAAACAGAACACATAACACTCAGAAAAATATAGTATGTCAAGAAACAAAGCTATATAAGAAAATATTCTTCATGTTTTCAATGATCATAAACATTAAAGATTTATTCCCTTGGCTAAAAAGACCCTGCTCAACTAAAAACAAATGAGGCTCTTCATAATTTTAAAAAATTCTGTCTTCACAAGAGCTCAGTTTTTCACTCTCAGACACCTAACATAATTCCTTATTTCAGTCATTTCCACTTCAGCAGGTGCTTCTGCTGATGTGGGAGAAGGGACTCATTACTGACTCCTCTTTCCCCTCGACTCCCTCCAATGTATGAGCTAAGCAACAAGAAAGAGAGACCATCAAAAATGAAACAATTACACCCCCATGGAGCTTGAAAGCCAGTGATGAAAACAAATGTTAAACAAAAGAGGCACTGTTATAAACCATGATGCTATAACTGAACACACTGGGGTGTCAAGAGCGCCACGGAGTGACAATGGAATACTCAAGAAACACTGCCAGCGCAAAGCCCTTTGGGCATGTGGCTTTGACCCTAAGACTGGAAAAATGGGCAAAAATGGGCAAAGGAGACAGGGCCCCAAGGAAGTGATGAAGCAGTGCACCACTTCCCCAAGGAAAGGATTCTCGACTTGTTCAAGCTGTGGAAGCCTTTGGTTTATCACTGGCCGACACACATATTCAGGAGAACTAAGGTGCAAGGTACTGCTGTGGCTGTTGTTACGGGAGATTCAAAAGGTACTGCTATACCTTCCTTCAAAGAGCATAACCAGACAGTTGCTGGACAGTTTGTCTCGGAGTTGACAAATTGCTAAAAACATCAGAAAACCAGGTCAGACAGTGTTTTCTCCCTTTATCTTACAAGGAAGAGAATCAAGTGAAATAAGACACCAAAACTGCATAACCTACATAGCAATAGGCACATTTCTTAGTTGTTACTAGCATTTTCAATTTCATTGCAGCCTTTACTCCCATCCTAAATGTAAGATATATTCATCTCTCCAAATTCTCTAGCCCTGGTGCCCAAATGATCTTCCTAAGATAATCTTCTCTTTGTCTTCAGTAAACTGTTTTCCTAGTCATGACAATTTTAAAAGATTACTATTTCATACAAAACCTATGTCAAACTTACTTTCCAGTGCATTATAAAGAAGTTCAAAGTCTTCACTTGTTTTCGGATTATGCCTTCGGTAGTAGTCCAGTTGCTTCCATTCTTCTTTTTCTTTTGCCTTCCTTAGTTCTTCCTCGGCTTCCCACTCCAGCCTCAACTTTTTCTGTCTTCTTAAACCCTCTGTGAAGACTTTAGCATGCCATCGCCTGTAGTAAGTTTGTATTACTATCACCTGTGTTAAATGAAAATAAAAAGTGTCTATTGTCCACTTGGTAAGGAGATGGGAAAGAAGACAGTACTGATTATTTTGCTTCCCACTCAACAACAAGAAAACAATAATGAGAGTCTAGCTTTACTTCTGTAGTAGGCTTCTTATACACACTATCACGAGAAGCATAGGTAATGCGCACTGTGGCTCTTTGTCTTTGAAATCTAGCTCATGCGTCTCCACAGGAGGCTGTTGATAAGTATGAGTACAGCCTGTGGAGTACTACTGACAGGCTCACACTTCCTTCTCTCCAATAGGTGCGCGATTTGACATAAGGGGCAACTCTCTGCTGGAGTGCCCTCATTTGTAAAATAGTGATATTAATGTGCGTAACATAAACTGTTTAACCAAAGCTACAAGTCTTATGAATTTTAATTAGGAATCATAATTGTCTCTAGTGTATCTTCATTCCCCTTAGTTTAGGCACATCTTTAAAACAAAACTATATGTCTTAAACACACAGTATGTAAGTGTGTGACAGGTTGGATAAAAGAGACATTTAAGCAGATAAATATTAAAATGCAGGATGTACACAGATAGGGGGCAGCATGATATAGTGTAAACCCTCAGAAAGCTCATGAGGTACCTGACAGCCTTTTATTAAACTCACAAATAAAGATGGAAAGGTTGCTTCCAGATTGTGGACAGGACAGATGTTGACACTTTGCTCTCCCTCATCCTAATATCTAACAATTACAGCAAAACATACAAAGGAGAAATTGGGAAAGACACTGGTTCACACTGGTAGGATCACCAAATGAATAGAAACTTTGAGAAATCCCTTTTTTCTAATTTTTTAATCTTTTATTTATTTATTTGGTATAGGGTTTCACTGTACAGCTCAGACTCATAGTGATCCCCTTGTCTCAGTCTCCCCAGCTCTGGGATTACAGGTATGTGCCACCACTCCTGGTTTTGGTGGTCGACACCACGTGCCCAGGTTCCAGGGCTGGTATGGCACTGGGTACCAGGGATCAAACCTGGGTCCTGGTACTTGTCAGGCAGGCAGACCACCAAGCTGTCTGCCCAGTCCCAGTAATCTCTTCTAGAAAAGTATCACATAAAATAAATTGAAGCAGAGATATATAACCTAATCATCCCTGGGATTGCAAGTTAAAAGTAGATGGCTCCAGGACTGGTTCAAGCTGCAAATTGGTGGATGCTCTGGCAGAAGACCCACTATCAGGGAAAGTGCCTGGAAAATGCAAAAGGGAACCAAGCTTGGTCGTGGATGCCCATAGTCCCAGCACTCTGGGAGGCTGAGATTCCAAGTTTGAGCCCACCCTGAGAAACTTAGCAATTTATTTAGACCCTTTCTCAGAATAAATTTAAAAATGTGTGGGTATGTAGCTCAGTGTGAAGGCCCCCGTACCTCAATCAATCAATCAATCAATCAATCATCAACCAGTAAGTAAGAGAAAGGCTCTTCTAAAACAACTTTGGGAAGAGCCACAAAACTTCTGTGCCTAGGGAAGAAGGCTCAGTGTCCCAGAAGGCCATGTGATCCTGCAGATGAGTGCAGAGGTCTTAGCAGAGAGTAGATCCCTTCCAAAATCAAGCATTACATCCTGCAAGCTCAGGATTAAGGTTACAACCTCAGGATTAAGGCTACAACCCCAGGATTAAGGCTACAACCTCAAATTTTCTAAGTACATTCCTACACATAAGCAGATATTTGAAAAGAGATCAAAAAACGCCAAAATATCCCTTGCCCAACGAAATGAATAATTTATACTTGATTGAAACAGAAGTACAGTGCTAGAAGAGTAGTTCTCAGAGCGTAGTGGCCCAGGCAGAAGTATGAGCATTATCATGGAACTGACCAGCAATGCAAACTCTCAGGACCCACGCCAGCGCTGACGAGCCAGAAGCACGTGTGGAACCCAAAATCCTGTGTATTAATGAGCCCTTCATGAGATGATGAGGCTATGAGTTCAATACCACTTTACTAAAGTAAAGCAAAACCAGACTAGATGTGGTTTACATTTTGAGAGGAAAGGCTATTGGATAAAACACTCATTTTGTAAAAATTAACAACAGGGGCTGGGGAGATAGCTGAGAGGCATAAGCACCTACCTGGCAAGGTACTGAGTTCGATACCTGGCCCCTCATGTGGTGCCTCATGTGCCTGGTTCTGGGACAGCTGTGCAGGCCCCAGAACCAGGCATGGTGGTGCACACCTGTAATCCCAGTACTTGGGAGGTTGAGGCAGGAGGATTGCTGTAAGTCTGAGACCAGCCCAGGGGCTACAAAAGTGAGTACATAGCACGAACTGCATAGCAAGACTCAGTCTCAAAAAAAAAAAAAACTGCATCATAATATTTATTTTGAAAATTAAAAAGTAATAAAATATATATTATCTTAAGTTCTACTAAATTTGTTAAGCTTTAAGATACCAAAACACATTTAAATAACCCCTTTTCATACAACAGTGGAGCGACTGGCTACCAATTTAGAACTGGGAGAAAAGTTCTGCCCTAGGTGACAAATTTCATCCTTCTTGCTTGTCCACTTGGCTTCTCCACTTATCGTCATCCAGCCAGGAGAAGGGGAAGGGACAAGGGCCACTTCACAAGCAACACCTGGCAGTGTCTCACATCATTCCCCCCCCTCACTGTCCAGGGGGGCTGCATCTGGACACTCCAAAGAGGATGAATGGAGAAACTTGAATATTAACATTACTTAAAATATAATACAAGAATATTTTCCAAAGACAAATAGGAGCTCAGCTAGAGTCCATTACCAAGGTTCAACCACATCGTAGTAATATTCCACCAAGGGTAAAGTGAAAATACTGAAACCTTCTAAAAAGAAGAAACAAGGGGCCGGGGAGATGGCTGAGTGGAATAAGCACTTCCCTGGCAAGCGCAAGCACCTGAGTTCAATCCCCAGTTCCAAAAAAAAAGAAACAAACAAAAATAGAATCAGATTGATATGAGACTTTTAATAAAATGGGGCTTCAAAGATCTAAAGGAAAGTAGTTCTGGAAAGAACTCTGAGTCTAACCTTTTATACCTACTTGAACTAAAAATCTGTGGATGAGGCTTACTGAAAAAAAGATTCAGCCTGTTTACTCCCCATACATGATGTCTGAGAGAATTACTGGAATGTACATTTCATCAAAATTAATAAATTCTACAAAAAATAAGCAAAATAAATTTTCTTTGAAGAAATCACATATATCATTGTAAACATATGTAAAACCAAAGGTCTAATATTGTAACATAAATATTAAATTATATATGATTATAAGATAAATTTCCTGATAGAAGGAATAAGGGAATAAAGAAAGAATCTGAAGATAGTAAAGAGGTTGGGGAGATAGCTCACTAGAATAAGCACCTGCATGGCAAGTGGAAGGGCCTCAGTTCAATCCCTGGTTCTGACAAAAAAAAAAAAAAAAAAAAAAAAAAACCAAAAAACTTTTACATGAAGATAGTAAAGCCTACTAAAGTTCTTTACTTGTCCATGGAGAAGATATATAACCATATTACATACATATTTGCCATAAAAACAATTAAATGTGTTTTTTAAAAAATGTATTAGTAATTACTAAAAAATACAGATTACTTATCTGACTAATGAAAGAACATAAAAGAAAGTTAATGAAGCTAGCAAAAAAGGACAAGTCACTAAAGAATAAATAAGAATGACTAGTAAATAGCCAGATGAGACGATACAAGTAAGTTAAACTATCAGGAGATACACATAACATCATCTCATCTAACATAAGAAATGTTTGAACAAACTCAGTGTTGAGCTCCAGAGACTGAAGACCTCAACAAACTGGGCCGCAGTGGAAGGATAAGCTGTGCAGGCAAACGCACTTCACAAGTGGAGCTCCGCTCCCTACCTGGCTTCTAACTGCCTCTCTTTTGGCAGCTCACCCCTCGCGCTCCCCTCCACAGCTCCAGACCCCACAGGGCAAATCCACGTGGCTCCGATGCCAGCTCCTTGCAGGAACTTAGGTTGTCACTTTCTCGCTCCAGCAAGTCAGCACTTGTCCGTCTTCTTTATGATTTCAAAACATCAACTGGCACTTACTCTTCTCTCTTCTCCTACACTGTTTGCCCCTGCATGTTGACACTTTTCTATTCCTTTAGTATCATTTTTCTGGAGTTGCAAACATGGCATAGAGCGTTCTATTTCTCCACGTAAAATTGTGTCTCTTCTACTTCCCCTTACAAAGAAAATTTCAATTTTCTTGAGAAACTCCAAGCTTCTTTAAAAACGCACTTCTCAGATACTCCTGCCATAGTGAGAGTCAGACAACACAGTGCAGGCCAATGAAATACAACTGGAAGTCGCTGGGTGAGGCTTTCGGAGAGCAGCCTTGACTTCCCCCTTCCTCCTGCCTAGAACGCCGCCATAGGGATGAGCAGCAGGCAGCGGGGCCCACACCACACAGCAACAAGCTCAGGATGCGAGTAATAGAGTCCAGGTGAGATTTCTGAAGACACTGTAAAACCCATCCAAACCCAGTACAATAGTTCAGTAAGAATTAGTTTGGACCAAGAAACTGGAGAAAGCATCAGTCTGGAATAACCGGCCTTAATGGAAGGAGCTACAAAGTTAACAGGCAATAGTCTTTATCCTGAGGACCTGCTGCAGCTATAAAATGTCACAGTAATTCTTCTCATTTAGTGACTACTACTTTGCTACTTTGTGAGAAACTCTGATTTTCTTTCCGAGAAAGTCATAAAGTGTCAGAGATTCTACTGCTTAAAATCAGATCAGTAAGAATGAAACATCCAGGGGCTGGGGAGAAGGCTCAGTAGAACAAGCACTTCCCTGGCAAGTGCAAGGCCCTGAGTTCAATCCCAGTTTCCGCAAAAAAAAAAAAAAAGAAAGAAAGAAAAAGAAAAAAGAATGAAACATCCCACTGTGGCCAAGAGGATCTAAGGCACTTTGACAGAGAGCCACAGCCTTGACTTACAACCCAGGTGATAAAGTTGAGAGAACATCAGAGAAGAAGCAAAGCTCTACAGTGCTTTGAACTGCTACAGAGGGAGCAAGCCTGGAGCCCCTCGAGGGCCAGCGCGCCTGGGTGCTGAGCCTTCACACACCTGTGCCAGACAAGCAAGAGACTCCTCCACTTCAGTCCCATCTGAATTTTGCTCCTCCTTAGGGCCGGCCTGATAGGTTAGCAGACTGAAACGCATGCTTAGGCAGAGCGCAGCGACTGCAGCTCCATCCCCTGTGTGCAGCACCAGCCGTCCCAGGGCCATGCTGAGACCGCAATTGAGACTGGGCATGGTGGCGCACACATGTAACCTCAGCACTGGGAAGGCTGAAAACAGGAGAATTACCATGAGTCCGATCTACGTAGTGAGAACCTATAGACTCTGTCCTAAAATACCGAAAAAATAAAAAAATAAATTTTCTTGCCCTCAAAATTGTATAATAATTGTGTCTTTCCCTCATTTAGTGAAAACAGCTTTAGACTAGAAAAAGAAAAAGCTCATCTTCTGAAATAACTGGTACTGGTAACACCAGGTACAAGGCTAAATCTGTGGTTACCCTGAGTACAGTTTCCTTCAAGCAGTGAGTCCAGGAACCTGATTTTGAGTTGCAGGTTCATCTCTCAAAGTCTTGGGCTGGGGCGACCAGAACCGCAGTTCAGCTCAAACTTCCTCTCACTTGGAAAAGAAAATCTTATTTAAATATCTGCTTTGAGGTTATTTTTACTCCTAAAATAATGTGAGAAGGTAGAGCAAACTGCTTCCTACAGGAAATCAAACATGAAAAAGATAAACAGGTGAAAAAAATAAACTGGGCAAATGATAAAGTACACTCAGAGAGACTAGCCTAGTATGACAGAAAATAGATGGTGATGTCCTGTTTGGTCGCAGTTGGTCAGGGAAAGTCCCTACATGAGCCTGCTATGACGAGGGTTATGGCCAACAGGTGGAAGTTGTAAGGCTGCTGATCGGCAAGATCTGTGAGAAGACGGCCAAGGGCAACACAAGAAATGCTTCAGATATCGTAGGGAGAAAATGAAGGATTAGGGACATTTAGAATTCTGCTTTTATAGATATTTTACAGACTTGTCCTACATCTTTTTTTTTTTATTTTATATTTTTGGTAAGACTTCATTTAGTACCTGTGAAGAGTGATCCACATTCATATGGGCTCTTTCTCAAGCTCATGTGGTTTAGGAAAACACACACAGAACAATTGATTTTTAGTATTTGCCCACAGCAAAAATTATTTTTTTTTCCAATCAAATTGTTAGGACAGTTTCAATAATTAACACATTGCATACATTCTTCCAAGTGGTTAATTGCTGTACCAGATGCGGACATGAATCCTATTTACAAATACCATCAGAACAAATCCCTCTATTCATTAAGAGAATGTAACTATATATCTATCCTAACCACTTTGAATACACAGATACAAAATGGACATTCATCTGTATCC